TACCAGACCGTCTATAAACATTTCTGGCTGGGGACTCGGCTCTGATCTGGCTGTGATCGTCGTCCTCCTGCGACGTAAAATAATTCCTGATGTCACTTGGGGGCGGACGTTAAATTGCCTCTTGATCAGCCAGATCATCCGAGTGGAAGGCTCGTCGGCGTACGAGGGTAAATAAGAGTGYTGTGGCTGCCTTGCTCGACGATAACCCGGGGCACAGCGGTGGGACCGGATTGCACACCTTTGAGACACGCTTGGCTTCTGATGCAAAGAAACGTGACACCGTGACTTAGAGAAGAACAAAGGGAGGGGTAGGTTTCAGGTGATAAGTTCGGGTTTTTACCATGCTATGAACAGACCCAGTCAGTCAACATTATTTTTATTTTTGATTAGTTAGATGGACAGCCATGTGACATCTGACATACAACATTAGTTTATAATATTGTTTATTCCTGATGCTTCTTCTGTTTGAGAACTAATCTTACTAAAAATAGTATTGACAGTAGGAATCTGACTTACCTGTTGACCCCAAATGAGATCTGTTCTGAAACTAGCCACCACTAATTAGTTGGTCTGTGTACTATGCTGCGGTAGGCATCTAGAATGATCTAGTGTGGACAGTGCACAGTGTTGTAGCCTATGAGCGACGTGGAGGACACCGGAGAGGAGGACCGCAGGACCTTACGATCGGCTAGAGGACCGGTATCCCACGTGTCTTTGGGACCGGAGTTTGATAGGGAACTGTTCCGCCGGCAGAGGGAGAGGCAGCAGCAGAGGAGAGCTAGAGCAGCCGAGGCCAGCAGGGCATTTGCTAGTGAGGCCAGTGCTATAGCAGCCATGGCTACCACAGCCATGAGCACGTCTGCGCAGCAGACTTCCCAAGCCGGTAGTTCCGGTACCGCCGGGTCCACGGTCGTGCAGACCGTGAGTCAATCCACTGGCTTAATGGCAAGCCAGCCCGCGGTGTTGTCCCCAGAGGATGTCGCCATCCAGCATGCAGCCCTGCAAGAGGCACAGTTACAGTAGGCATTAGGACAGATAAAAAGGGAAAAAGAGATGATGATTAGAAGAACCAGGATGCAACAGAGAGGGGCAGACATAGAGGAGTTAGAGACGATGGACCTGACGCGTATGGATGATGATGTGAAGGTAGTTAGGAGGGCCCTGCTAGGCGTAATTGAGATGCAGGAGCATCAAACTACCATCCTTCAGGACATTCAACAAAGCTTAGCCGTGTTGGCAGGCCGTGCTCAGGCAGCACCATCACCAGCAGGGCCTGGCGCCTGGCCCGTGCCATATCCTCCTCTTGCTGTTCCACCGGTGACTGGGGTATCCCCATATGTAGCCCCTTCATCGGTTGCTATCGTTTCCCTGGGCATGCCTCTGTCAGGAGGGGTAACAACAGGGAGTAGTTTACAGGTTCCTGTTCAGACAGTGTTCACTCCAAGTCCGTCACAGGTTGCAATCACCACGCAGCCTGCTGTCTCGCAGCCAGTGCAGCTTCAAGGCACACAGCCCCAGCAGCTAGCTCAGCAACCTGTTTCATTGGGGCCACAGCCTGGAATGATGCAGGGACCGGGACAGACACAATGGGTTCCAAAGACGGCCATCGCCGCTCCCAAACCTTTTACAGGGGATAAGAGAGGCGAGGACCTCGACACATGGTTGAGGGCCGTGCCGGTCTACGTCAGGTGTAAACTCACCTTGCCACACGAAGAAGTTCTTGTGGCTGCTTCCTACCTCGAGGGTAGTGCAGCGAGATGGTTGAGTGGTTTAGTGCAACTCCAAGGGTACGGTCATGACTTCCGCTCTTGGGCAGCCTCTCAGAAATTGGAGGACTTCCTAAGAATGGTGGATGAAAGGTGGCATGACCCTCAGGAGGCTCAATAGGCCACTGATGCGATCCTGACACTGCGCACCCGACAGTAAGGGATGCGACCGACGCTGTAGAGCGTTTGATTTGTGTTCCAGGGGTACGCTATGACCCCCAGGTCCTGTTAACTTCGTACTTGAGATGCTTATCTCAGCCTCTCAGGAACCAGTTGGCAAAAGAGGCCAACATCAATGTGCACAACTTTCCTTCGTTTAGCAAGGTAGCCCTGGACCTTGAAGCAAAGATAGGGCATGGACAGACACCCACTACGGAAGGGAAAAAGAAGACGCTGCCTCCCAACTGGAAGGCGAAGGGTCGCTTAATGTTTGTCGACAATGATGGTTCAACCATCGAGTTGGACGGCAACCTTCAGGAGGGAGTAGATGCAGAGGCAGGTGGCGATACTTCAGAGGGTGGAGTAGTCGCCGCCGTAACCCAGCAAAAAGGTAAAGGGACCGGTAGACGCCCTAGGGGATCCTGGTCGAAGAGTCAAACAGACCCCAATGCTCCTCCATGGGAGAAGGCGGGTCTATCGGAGGACGTGTGGAGAGATCGGTGGGCACGACAAGCTTGTATCAAGTGTGGCCAATATGGTCATAGCATGCACAAGTGCCGTAATAGGAAGGTCACCGAGAAGATCCCGCCCACTATGGGGTCGGCGGTAGGATCCTCTCAACCTGTTGGCAGCAACATTGCTAGTTCTTCAGGCAGTGCTCCGGGAAACACGTCTGGCCAGTAGGGATAGTAGCTGTTCCTACTAGGGTCGCGATGGTGGATTCACCCTCACCTTCCCGAGAGATGGCCCAAGCTACAGACTCTCCAGTCGTCCCGCAAACACATTCAGACCCATCGACCCTCTGTTCAATGAACGTGTTTGAATCCTTAGAGGAGCTAGAGCATGAGTGGTCTAGATCAGATCCACTAGCTTCTTGGACGGCGTTAATTAAAGCCCCTAAGAGTGAAATGTTTGTCAGCGAGGTAATTATAGGAGGCCGCAAGGCCGGGGCCTATTACGACACTTGCTCGACTAGGAACTTTATTAGCCGCGCGTGCGTTGAGAGGCTGCGCTTACAGGGGCAAGTGCAGCGCCTGAGTCGACCTGTGGAGTCGACTTGTGCCAACAAACAGCGCATGGTAGTTAATGACTACCTCCATGATGTAGAGTGTGTTTTCTCGTACGCGGGAGGGGACTTGAGACATCGTGTCTCGTTCCTGGTGAGTGACGAGCTCCCAATGGACATGTTACTAGGTATGTACTACCTCTCTGTAGCACAGCCCCAGTTCCCCAGTTTGACTGGGACCGAAAAGTGGTCAAACACACGTTGCCAGGTGGAGGGACCGCCAGATTACATAAGTTCAAAGCTAGTAGGCTGATTGAGTCCTATGGGTGCATGTGTGCGGCCGCGTTCTATAATTATTATAAGCAAAATCAGGAGGAGGGTATGTACTTAGTTTATGTCTCTGCTGCAGGCGAGCCGGTGAAAATGCCGCCAGAGATAGAGGGAGTAGTTGCTAAGTACCCAGATCTATTTGAAGAGCCGACAGGGGTTGTTGAGAGGGAGGTCGTCCACGCGATAGAGATTATCCCAGGGTCTAGTATTCCGAAGGGTAGGATCTATCGGATGTCTCCAGGCGAGCTTGATGAGCTTCGCCGCCAACTCAAGGAACTCATAGAGAAGGGTTGGATCCGGCCGAGTGTCTCTCCTTATGGATCTCCAGTACTCTTTGTACCTAAGAAGAAGGAGGGCACTCTCAGGATGTGCATTGACTATAGGGGCCTCAATGCCATCACTGTGAAGAACAGAGAGCCCCTACCACGCATCGATGATCTATTAGATAGAGTGCAAGGGTGTCGGTACTTCAGTAAAATAGATCTGAAGTCCGGGTACCATCAGATTGCAATCCGGCCCGAGGATCAACACAAAACCGCATTTCAGACCAGGTACGGTCTRTACGAGTTTGTGGTGATGCCTTTTGGCCKTTGCAATGYTCCTGGMACCTTTCAGCACGCTATGAATCRGATWTTYCATGACTACTTGGATAAGTTTGTCGTCGTGTACCTCGATGACATACTTATTTTTAGTAAGACTGTCGAGGAWCACGTAGCACACTTAGACAAAGTTCTCAGTCTCCTRCGACAGCACAAGTTCAAGATCAACGGTGAAAAGTGCGAGTTTGGCCACACCCGTATCTTGTACTTGGGTCATGAGATCTCCGCGGAAGGGTTGAAGCCCGATGACGCGAAGGTGGCCAGCATTCGTGATTGGCCACGACCTCAGTCTGTGACTGAGATGAGATCTTTCTTAGGAATGACAGGCTACTACCGGACTYTTGTAAARAACTATAGCATTGTGGCCGCTYCTTTGACTRATCYGACCCGCCTTGACACCCCGTGGGAGTGGACAGATGAGTGCGAGGCTGCTTTCAGACATCTGAAGCATGCATTGACGCACTATGAAGTCTTGAAGCTACCCGATCCTGATAAGCCATTTATAGTAACCACGGATGCTAGCCAATATGGCATTSGCGCCGTGCTTGCGCAGCAGGAGGGGCCAAAGTTGAGGCCAGTTGAGTACATGTCCAAGAAAATGCCGTCTCAGAAGTTGGCCAAGTCTACTTATGAGAAGGAACTTTATGCGGTGTACAAGGCTCTCACCCATTGGAGACACTATCTCCTTGGGCGGTTCTTCATCCTCCGGACTGATCATCAGACCCTGAGATGGATAAGAACACAACCGGTACTCTCAGATGCTCTCAAGCGATGGATCGAAGTCATTGAGCAATATGACTTTGACCCTCAGTATCTCAAAGGGGAGTACAACAAGGTTGCTGATGCCTTATCGCGCAGACCGGACTTCTCAGGTGCGATGATTACTGAGTTCGATCTGACGGACGATGTTACTCAGTCTTTGGTGGAAGCCTATCGTCAGGACGAGTTTATGTCTGAGATCATACACAGACTAGAGGCGAAGGATAAGAAGACCTCCGCCGAGTTTGAGTTGGTCAATGGATTGCTGTTCCTAGAGAAGGCAGGGAATAAACGCTTGTGTGTTCCAAATAGTGAGTCTTTGCGTAGTTTGTTTTTAGGTGAGTGTCATGATGCCACCGGCCATTTTGGGTACAAAAAGACCGCAGCCAACTTGTTGCAACGGTTCTGGTGGCCCACGATGATGAAAGATGCACAGCTGTACGTGGAAACTTGTCAAGTATGCCAAAGAGACAAGCCCGTACTCAGGCTCCTCTTGGGCTGCTCAAGCCCCTTCCGATTCCGGAAAGGCCGGGTGAAAGTTTGTCCATGGACTGCATGGATACGCTGGTCACCAGCAAGAGTGGGATGAGACAGATCTTTGTCATCGTGGATAGGTTTAGTAAGTTTGATAGATTAATAGCTATGCCAGAAACAGCAAAGACCGAGTACTTGATCAGGTTATTTAAGGAGAACTGGGTCAGAGACTTTGGACTGCCGAAGTCAATTGTCAGTGACAGGGACGTCAGGTTTACGAGTGAATTGTGGAAGGCCGCTGCAGCTGAACAAGGAACTCAACTGCAAATGACTTCTGGAAATCATCCAGAAGCTAATGGCCAGGCTGAACAAATGAACCGCGTTGTGCAACACCTGTTGAGGCACTACATCAAGCCCAATCAGGTAGACTGGGACGAAAAGCTTGCTCTAGTCGCCAGTCTATATAACAACGCTGTACACAGTGCTACCGGGACAAGTCCTAACGGTCTACAACTGACATTCAAGCCTAGACTGCCCTTAGACTTCCTACTTCCAGACAACCAGTCAACTGCTACACCGGGCACTTTGGAGTTCGCCTATAGATATGAACAAAAGATGCAGGAGGCTGTAGAACACATGCAGAAGGCGCAGGCAGCAATGATAGAGTCTGAGAATAGACACCGTCGCCCTTCTACATTCCAGGTTGGGGACAGAGTCTGGGTCAAGTCTTCAGAACTGGGACAGGAGTTCGGAATATCCCGCAAACTCATGCCTCAGTACTTTGGGCCTTGGGAAGTTCTAGACGTAGTAGGGACAGATCCTGATGGTCCATCATATGTCATCCGTATCCCTGGTCATCTCAGAACTCACCCTGTCTTTCACGCCTTTAAGCTCGCTGCGTCCAAGGAAACTGATCAGTTTCCCCCTCGTCGGTCAATGCTGCCCCCAACCATGGACGGAGAAGTCGATATCGATGATATCGTCGATCACAGGGAGATGCCTGTTCAGAAGCCCCCAGGAAGGGGACGTCCTCCAAAGCCAAAACTGCAGTTCCGTGTTCACTTCAAACATCACACGGATCGGAAAGAGGACCGCTGGTTTACTCGGGAGGAATTTATGCAGACCGCTCCTCAAATCGTTGCCCGCTATGAGAAGGATGTATTGAAAGGGAAGCGCTAGATGGCTCAAGATTGATCTTCGCAGAGGACTAACGAAGATATGGAGGAGGGAATGCGAGGCTACGCCCGCTTAGCCCCTACGGGGCCCTATCTGCAACAAGGTCGGCCGCCCGAAGTGAAGGCAAGCACGACAGGCCCTTCGGGCCTCATTCTTCAGGGTACCCCGCATCGGGGAAATTCAGACAGTTGCGTTGCGCCAGTTGGTTGAATGAATCCAGGCCCTGGGCCGCCTGTGTAAATGAATGTGAAGCAGGCCCTGGGCTGGATACGGGTACCGGGCCAAACACAGGCCGAAAGCAGTTGGGCGCATGCAACCACTTCAGGCCCAAGGCYTGYTCTCTTCGTGACTGGGCCTGTGCCTACCGGGGCCTACCGGAAGCTTCCTGGACTGGACGCAAGCAGGCCACTTTGATATAGGGAAGGGCCTGCCTCCTCATTCGGCATTCGGGTGCTGGCTGCATGCTGCGTGAGCGCTGCTGTGCAATCCGCTGGCTGGCTGGCACTCACGCTCTCACGGGCGAGTAGGAGGGAGCACGCAGCCATAGCCAAGCTGCGCTGCTGTATGCTAGGTGAAGCGCAGGGTGGTCCTTGGGGTGCTAGTGGCATCTGTGCGGTGTGGATCGGGGTTGTGAGTGTTACGAGAGACATACCTGGTGCTGAAGCGTGCGACATTGGTCGCCCTATGCTCGTACTTTGGGAACGTTGTTGATGTCATCATTCTGCTTCGTAGTATAGGCTAGATAGGATCTGCTACCTGTAGTCTGGGCGCCGAGCGCCAATAGGATATCAACTCTGGTTTGTAGTCGATGATGATGGGACTACTTCAGCATTGTGAATTTTGAACTCTTGGTGTGTTCTTATTTGGTGTATCTCGTGATGCAAGTCTGCTGTGGTTCGAGGTCAAGACTATCTGGGCTCATATGTATGATGTTGTTTGATTGCCGAAGTTCGCTAATGCTCATCTTCCTTGCAATTTGGTATCGGAGTTGTGGTACGATTGCGCTCAACCTTGAGAGTCGTGATTGTTCACGTGGAGCATCTGGGGGAAGACGGGCGGAGCTTCTTGAAGGGCCCTGGATGAAGCACTGGGTCACGGTCACCATGCCAACCCACTGGGTGTAGTACACGCATGCTTCGCTGCAAGTCGTTGGTTATGCTGCTTGCGCATGATAGGGGTTAACTCGAGTGTGGCAGCCTCTACAGACGCATACCAGACCGTCTATAAACATTTCTGGCTGGGGACTCGGCTCTGATCTGGCTGTGATCGTCGTCCTACTGCGACGTAAAATAATTGCTGATGTCACTTGGGGGCGGACGCCAAATTGCCTCTTGATCAGCCAGATCATGCGAGTGGAAGGCTCGTCGGCGTACGAGGGTAAATAAGAGTGTTGTGACTGCCTTGCTCGACAATGTTTCTGAGGCCATTAATATTCCAGCTCCTAATGACTACCCCTTGTGTTTTGCAGTCCACCCTGTCTTCCTTTACATTTGCCCCCTTTCTAAAAGTCTCCATCATTGAGGCGTACAGGGAATAGGAAGGGATATAATCATAGAGGTCGACAGCCTAGGAGGGAGCCTGATCGCTCTCATCCATCCCTGTTGACGCATCACCCGGTGGGTCCTATTGCGCTGTAGTGACCGAATCATCTATCTTGTATTCACCTACACTTCCACTGATTCCCTTTCCACGAGCATGTTGGGATGTAGTTTTCGGTCCTTCGATTGTTTCAGAAACTTCGGACAATTCGGGTCGGTTCCCATATGACTGCGTTCCCTGCATCTGAAACAGATCGGAGAAGTCTCGGTAGAAACTTTGACTTCTAGTGCTCTGTTCTCTATCTGGAATTTCCACGTCAGTGGAAAAACAGGGGGTCGTCTGTCTTGACTTCTAGCAGGGTCGTCATGGAGCCACAGTGAGGAGCTAGGAAATCTGGAGTCGGCAGGATCCATTGGAGGATTTTATTTGCCAGATATTGTCTCTCCAGTCTTTCGACCAACAAAACATGGAATCCTGGTTGAATGTTGTTGAACTGAACCCAAAAGTGCGTGATCTTGGTAATCGTGCAGATCGATCCGTTACAGTTTCTAGGATGCATTTCTGCTGCAATTCGTGTGTGATCTTGGTGGTTGAAGATCACCATGATGTTGTTACGTCCCAAGTTTGCAGAGAAAAGGCTTCCCCAATATGCTTGAGTTTTGCCTCCTTTTTTATTGTCTATAATCCATTTTCTCTTCTCTGTCAGCATGAGATCTGCTCCATTGCGTGCAAAGTTGAAAACCACACCGTGCCTTTCGTGAAGATCATCCTGTTTAAGCACTTTCCCATCGGGGTATTTCCATACAATCACTTCTTCCTCTTTCCATTCTGCTTTTTGTTTTTCTGTGATGGGTTCGCCTTCAACTTTTGTTTTTTTTAATCAGAAATTTGAGTGCTTCGTAGTCTATGGTATTCAGTGTTGTCTTGTCCATTGGTGAGTTGCGGTGCGTCTGGGTGGCATTCTGAACAATTTGTTTGAAGGAGGCTGCGTCGCGGCCTGTGGTTGGACTGGCCATGCTGTTCTCGTCTAGGGAGGCCTGTCGACCCTCCTTTCCACTCGCTCAGTCCTACTTGCTGAGATGAGAAGCCAAGCCTTGTCGATGTGGGAAGATGTGGGGAGGTGAGAGGGGAATCTGGAGGAGAGTCTGTAAGAGGCTGATGGGATTGGGAGAAGGGGGGAGGGGGG